TATTATTGTTTTCTTATAAACATCCTGATGCTGATTGTTTTGAGTTCTTTATGGCCCAATAAGGTCCCCTTTCATATCGATGGAGGTCAGCCTTCCTACTTAATCATTGCTGGTTTGGTGTTTACCCCACTCTCAGAACCACTGATAGAGTATGTGACGCTCATTTCTGGCACTGAATACATTATTTTAGTAATAAACTTCTTGTGCTAACTGCTCACTAACCATTTCTTATGTTCTTTTGGCAGTGAGGAGTGTGAAGACTCTATAGGAGTAAGTAGTGACCCACAGAGGAAACTCCTAAGCACAAAAGCCCTGTTTAACTAGTTTTTTCTTTTTCGATTGCTGACCAGATTGCACACTTATGGTTTGGAAACTGATTGGTTTTTGGTTTCTCTTCTGGTCAGTTGAAACTCTTGGCAAAGGCACGCTACTCTTTGGCTAGGTTCAAAGGGGAACAGATTGTGATCTTATCACAGGTTAGTTCCATACATATTCCTTTAGCAATATACATCAAATGTTGAGATTGTGTTGTGGTTATTAAAGCCAATATTTAACGTGTAGCTTCTTTCATTTTTGTCCTCTCTTGCCCTCCCTGTAATATATTATGCATGTTAAGTTGTACGAAAGGAGAATCATCCTTTTCATCACTCTTTGTTTCTGAAAATTTTAAACTGTTGCCGTTTTTTCTTATTTTTGGATTCATCTTCTATAGGTCTTAGCAAATGAAGTGAACATAGGGTATGAGGATATGAGCAATCAGCAGGCAAGTTATCTGTTTCTGTTTACATTTTTGGCATGTCTCTGCCAACCATATGGTTGCACTAACAAAAAATTGATTTCAGGTTTTGAAGTTAAATGGAACACAAATAAGGAACATTCATCATTTGGCGTACCTTGTAGATTGTAAGTGGTAGCAACCCTTAAATATTTCCTGTTCAATTTATGCCATTCTGATTCTCATGGTTGTGCTGTGCTCTTAATCAGCATGCAAGGACAAGTACTTAGTCTTTGAATTTGAAGACAATTATATAACAGTTTTGGAAAGGGAAGCAGCTACAGCTGCTTCTTCCTGCATTCTCAAAGATTATGGGATTCCGTCTGAAAGGTCTTCCGATCTGTTGGAACCCTACGTGGATTCACTTGGGGACAACCAAGCAGTCGATCAGTACATCGGCGACAGTCCGGTTTCAAATTTGGAAATTGGCTTTGATGGAATTATTTGGGCATAAATTATAATTTGCTTATATCCCGGAGGAATACAAAGTCATCGGTAGAAAGATGATGGTTATTGCAGGCCAATAATTAATTATTCGTCTACATTGCAGCAAGCTTTTTCACTTTCACAACCAAAAACGATAAAATAAAAAAACATAGGGAGGTAAACTCGACTGTTGACCTTCTTCAGTTTGGTTACTATAGAAATGACTTGATATCATTTGCTATGTTTTGGGCATCCACACCAGACCCATATATTCCTCTTCTTGATAATCCCACACAATATAAACCGTTCTTTCCCTTCCAATGGTTAGGGAAACTTTGTCTTGCAAGTCCATCATCGTTTAAAAGATAATCATCCCCCTGTAACCACAAATAAATAAATAAATAAATAAATATTCACATAAAAAATAGTGGTTTTCTTTTAATTAATTTGATTAATTTGTTATTTAATCATCACCTTGAGCCACAAGTTCGTTGATCTCTTGAACCCGGTGCAGAAAACAATTGCATCAAATTGGTACGACTTGCCGTTTTTCAATTCAACATCGCTGCCTCTTATGCTGCTGATTTCTGCTGGCAAGACCTGAATCTCACCGGACTTGATCTTCTTACATGTTCCAACATCAATGGTTGGATACTTGCCGTACTTGACCTTCATATAAAAGGGACCCTCTGTTGGCCTCTCTATCCCATACTTGGTTAAGTCTCCATAAACCAGCTTGCTAAGCAAAACCACCAAAGAGTCCACCATGTTTAGCGAAAAATATTTGAACAAAACCGGGCCCAAGTAAACCATCCCCCTTGACAAAACATGGATCTGCATTCATATCACATAACTATCATATTAAACATGAAAGGAATTTTTTATACGAATTATAGTCTAAACTACTCTAAATTAAACTAATCTAAGTGGTGAAGTCGTACCGGGCTTCGAACGATGATGGAAGCCTTCGCACCAAGGTTTGCTAGGTCTAGAGCAATTTCCATCCCGGAATTCCCAGACCCAACAACCAAAACGTTCTTGTTTTTGAACCCCTTCCCAGATTTGAACTGAGTTGAGTGAAGAACATCCCCAGCAAAAGTGTTCAAACCTTGAACCTCTGGTGTATATGGGTTGGTTGTTTCCCCTGTAGCAACCACCAAAAACCTCCCAAAATACTCCTCCATCTCACCAGAGCCACCAGTATTACTATTAGTCACCGCCTTCACAACCCATCTCTCAGAAGCTTCATCATAGTTTGCAGACTCAACATTTCTGTGGTACAGGATGGGACTAATCTTGAAACGGGACACATAGTCGTCCAAGTATTGGATAAACTGATTCTTGGGCACGTAGGTGGGACAAGAAGGTGGAAATGGCATGTGGGGAAGCTCACAGAACTGCTTTTGAAGGTGGAGGTGGAGACGGTCATATGAATACTTTTTCCACAGGGAAGCAAAACAGTCCTCTCTTTCCAAGACTACGTATGGGATTGCAAGCTGGCTTAGACATCCGGCCATGGCGAGGCCGGACGGGCCAGCCCCGACTATAATCACTGCCTTCTCTTGCTCCATTTCAATGGCCTCTCTCTCTCTCTCTCTCTCTAGCTCTCTTATGTTGTCGCAAAGAATAAGGAAGAGTTTAATATATATTATTATTTTTTTGTGGTGCTTAATTATAACGCGAAAAGGTATGAATTAAGAAACCATTTGTTAATGCCATTTGATTGACATTGTGAAAATGCCATGTGATTGATAGTAGGTAGGGGGACAGCAGACTTTTTCTTTAAACAAACGACGAAAAAAAAAGATTATCTATATACGATTGAATTGTATCTCCATTTACACTTTAGAAATTGTGTAGAAAAATGTTTGTAATTGTAAGATGTGTGGTGTAGCACGAGACAACAGAGTGAAGTAACATCAGTGGCGGAGGCACATTGGGATCAGTGTAGTCCCAGACCCTAAATTAATATAGTATGATCTCCTCAGTTATTATCCAGCCAAACTTACCTTTCCTCCAAGCCTACGCTTCCTTTTGCAAACTCGCTCTATTTTTCTCCATTTACACTCCATTTTGCTTTTGAATGCTTTTTAATCAATTTTGTTCTTTTTAGTTATTTCTTTTTCATATTCTACCTTTACTCTGCAATTCCCTTTAATAAAAAGACATGTACAATAACTTACTAATATTTTGAAAGAATACAAATCTGAGACTATTATGCATACATTGCTCTCTGCATATATATCTAAGCTCTTAATGATACTTTGGTTAGCAGCATTCTTTAGATCTTCTACCTATAAACATGTTAGCCTAAAAAATTTATTATCTATTAACTACAACAAAGATAAACAGTACTCACATACTTGGTTTTAAAAAAAAACAACAAAGAAATTTAGCTTGCAAATACTTACATTTCTATCCATTTCTAAAATATATTTTTATTTTTTGTTAACTTTTCTTCATTTCAGTTATGAATTCCTTAATGTAAGGTAAAGGTAGAATAAGAAAGAGAAATAACATAAAAGAACAATATTGATTATAAAGTACTAAAAAGCAAAAGTGAGTGTAAGTTGAGAAAATAGGAGTGGGAAAATCAGCTTCCTTAATAAAACTAGAGTGCTGCTAAACGAATCCTAAAATTAACTGAGTACACCATACAATTAAAGTATTTATTGAATTTACTAATTTACCCTATTACAAAATGACCAAAATGAGATTTAATTTTTTTTTTGGGTGGGGGACTGCTTTAGAAGATTAACATCACGTCTTCATTTCTTGTGATTTTATTTCGGCTTTTTGGGAGACTAGTCCATGGTGGAGGCTTTTACAAAATAGTGTCGACCTGAATTTTAAATGTTGGCTTGTGCAACTGTTTGGTGACTCATTTAAAGAGTTTGTAGAACAAGTTTTGATGGTGTTGTGGGCAATCTAGAATGAGATAGGAATTCTGTTTTATGGACAGGCATACGACATGGGATGTTGGAAGTGGTTAATTATGCTATGCAGGTCTTGCAACAATTCCAGGAGAACAACTTTCCTAAGGGTGTTGTAATGGGGTAGAGCCCCCGTGGGTTTTTTAAAACTCAATTTTGATGGGGCTTTTCGCGAACAAACTGGGTTTGTTGCTTTCAAGAGGGTTTTACTGCTTCTTGGTTTATGATTTTAGTCTTATTAGTCAGATATGCCAACCTAAATTTGAAAAGAGGGCACAAATTCATGTAAAAAGAGAAATTTGGTTTATGATTGGCATTTAGGATGTTGTGTGATAGAGTGTATTAGAGTGCACCATGGGTATTTTTGGTAGTTAAATAGGGTGTACTTAGTTAATTTTACATTTTAATTAAAATATTAGGGTGTATTTAGATCATAGAGTGTACTCAGTTAATTTTAGGGTTCGTTTAGCAGCACTCTAAAACCATTATTATTATATTACTGTTTTATACAAATTACAAGGTTAAACCAAAGAGATTTTAATCCCTTTTTCTATTTTATTGGCACATATAAGGAGCAGACTTTTCAGTGTTAGTGAGTTTTCTCTCAAACTCAATATTATGTTATCAATTTTTAATTAGTTAATTCATTTATTATTATTATTTTTAATATTTCTCTTATTTTTTGTTATTGTTTTCTCTCTACCTATGGTGTTTTTTAGTTTGTGAAATTTTTATTTTTTCTTTCTATTGATTGTAATGTGTTTAACAACTTGAGAATTACATTTGGGACGTAAGCTCTAACAATGAATTTACATAATTGAAGTGGATTACTGATCTTGCACAAAAGATGGTTGTGACAAAAAAAGATTAGATACACCATTTAGTACACTTGCTTATGACACTAGCACTAATCCTATATGTTGCCTATGAATATTATGAAAAATTGGTTTTTTGCATATATTGAGAAAGACATTTTTAACAGCATAGATGACTTGGTTGGTACGCAATGATTTCAAAACATGAAAACTATGTCGAGGACAATTTATGATTGTAATGAATAAACACAATAATTTTTGATGTTTTGTTATGTCTTGAGTTCAAATTTTTTATTGTTTATATTTTGTTAAAAAAATGTTGGCTTCCCATCAAATCAACCGTCATTATTATTCGTATCTCTTTATTATTTCAGTTGGTTCCTTCTTTCCAAACAAGTCTGAAGCATGAGTCAGTTTCAATGACTCGGCTGGTGGGCTCAACCTCACCCCCTGTGATACCTTGGTATTCTACAAATCTTCATGTCTACTCACAGGGTTCTGTTCTCCCCCCTTTTCTTCTTTTCTTGGAGAAAAACTTAATTATTAGTTACAACATAGATGAAACTGTTTTGTTATTTTTGGCTAACAAAGGAGTGTTATCACGTGTGTCAGAGCATTATTAATTACGAATAGTAAAATAATGTTATTCTTGTTTCATGAAAATCTTTTTCCTTTTTCTTTGGTAGTTAAAAAAGCGTACCCTGAGATAGCAAAATAGAAAGGCAAAGAATTTTACTGCATTGTTTTTGAGTATCTTCAAAGTCTAGATTAATATGAGACACGAACTAATGATGAGAAGCGACAAGCGAAGTTTTTGTCCTCCATTTTGGTTTACGGCATGCATGGCATGCTGCTGCGTCTGCAAGATTGTCGTTCCAAGTGGATATTCCAAGTAAAAAAGCAAACTAAACGTGAAATAATGTGTGCAACCATTTACAATTACGTTAGATAAATTAATTGTTGTCGAAGAGAAGAATGATAAAATTGTGGGAGACTTTTATTTCACTAAAAAAGTAATAAAATTATAGTTAATTACCAAATTACATATACATGATAAGCAATCACTAAATTAAATTAAGTGTTCAAATTGTATGATGTGGTGACACCGGCACGTAGAAAGAAATTAGTCTAATGATATATTGCATGTGGAAGTGGAAGTGGTGAGCAAAAGAAACGTAGAGATTACGTCAAATTGTATGATGTGGTGACCGGCACGTAGAAAGAAATTAGTCTAATGATATATTGCATGTGGAAGTGGAAGTGGTGAGCAAAAGAAACGTAGAGATTACTTGATCACCATAACATGCAAAAATGGTTGAATATATATTTACTCTGCACATGTTAAATCTCTGATTAATTTGTCATTCGGAATCTGATCCTCTGATGGGGATCATTCACCAGATATTTTAAGAACCAAATAAAGTGAAGAATTGACTGCCAATCCGAATGATAGTGATGTTTGGTGAAAGGGCATGGCTTTATGCGGTGAATCTGTCATCTTTTTTTCTCTGGTTTTTCTTTATTTGGCTTCCTTGAGGCCAACAGGAAAGCTCAGGTTTTATATGGAAAATGGATCCAAATGCATGATTGGTATGGCTTTTATACTGAATTGACACCAAAAAGGGCCTTTCATTTCTTACCAAAAGTTTTTGAGTTTGGGACTTTGCTTAAAGAATTTGTCAAACCCATTGATATACAACTACGGGCTGGGCCAATATAAACCAATGTGGGCTTCAGATGCTGGTCCAAAACCTAAAAAATAAAAATAATAAAAACAATCTGTTGAGAGTGGGATTTGAACCCACGCCCTTTCGGACCAGAACCTTAATCTGGCGCCTTAGACCAACTCGGCCATCTCAACGGTTGATAAATGGTTTCTAAGTCTTTATATATATATATTATTGTATTGTGGTCGCTTTTTGAGATCCTGACGGCTGATTGTATAAAGGGGAAGAGATATTATTCGATGTACAAAGGCAAACCTGCAGATTAAAAAAAGAGAAACCACATGCTCTATTAAGCTGTCTGTTCCAATATCTATCCAAAATACCACAGCCCATCATTCTACAATCTACAATGCTCTCTCTCTCTCTCTCCAAACCAAACCAATTATTATCTAAATCTACCGGCTACCGGGATAAAGTATGGTTCTTTGGTTGCTCTAACGGTCAGAAAAGCAAAGACCATGATCAGAATATTATTATACACAAACCCAAATTTTTTGAACCAACAAAAAAGAAAGGAAATCATCATTGTTTGATCATTAGCTGACCTCTTTCCAAATTTCTATTAAGGAAATGACTTGGGAGCTTATATTCATCCAACTTTTACTTTAAATGAAAAAAGCATCAAGTTTTGAAATTTTTTGCTGCATTGACAAAACAGTTCCTATGTTGACATTAGAATTTAGAAGAGTGAGTGTGACAGTGTCCAAATAAACAACATTTACCCAAACCCAAATTTTAATTTTTTTATTTTTCACCCTGTAGACTGTTCTGCGCTCTGTAGATGCAAGTAGCAAAGAGTATAAACCAACCCATCTGCATCTGTAGCCATCACAAGTTACCAACATAGCATGCCACTAACAGAAACTGTCATTCAATTAATGCTGCAATGTCTACATACCAAGATTTAAAGCCTAATAGCAGATTCACGGACCAACTGCAGGCTGCGGCAAATGAAAGTTAAAAGAAGAAGAAAAAAATGCTTAAAGGGAAAAGAGACAGACACCTCATCCTCATGCTGTACAGAGGAAAATCCCAAATGAAACCTTGTCACTTAGCAGCACATGCAGAGCTGTATTACCATTGCAGCTTCCAATTGTATTTGGCACTTTGTGTTTCTGTCCCCACCACCACTTTCTCTCATAAGACCCTTTTAATCCCCTACTTATTCTCTCCAGCTCTTTACTCTTCCACCCCCTTCTCTCTCTCTCTCCCCAAAAGACACATTTATTGAACTTCCTTTACTATTGTCAAGTGTAGAATTTGATTGATTGTATCATCATTTAATGGCTTCCTTTTGCTCATTCCTGGCAATGTTCATGATCTTCATGGCTTCCCATTCTTCCCTTGCCTTGGAATCTCAACCAGAACCTCAGTTTTCAAGTATATCTGCTGCACCAGCATTGCTTCCAGGTGCTCCTCTCTCTTCTTCTCCAACCTTATCTCCAGATATTTCTCCTTTATTTCCTTCTCCTGGTGGTGTGCCACTTTCTCCAGCCGAGTCATCTCTGCCCACCATCCCATCAAGCCGGAGCCCTCCAAATCCAGAGGACACAGTTGCTCCTGGACCAGGATTGGCTTTTGCACCATCAGGGTCTCTGCCAGTTTCCCATTCATCTCCTGTAACTTCATCTCTGCCTCTGAATGTGATTTTGTTTCTTGGCTTGCTCGTTTGCTCGTTTGTGTAATGCCTTTTTCTGGTGCGATGTGTGGTGTGTGATGTGAGAGATTTTGTGGTAATTGGAGAGAAAAAAGAAAACAATGTTGGTGGAAAGCTTCAATTATTGTTAATTACCAGTGGTTTCCACTTTATGCTTGTAAACTATTGTGGTTAGAATATATAGAATGCTTTAGTGTGTGATGTTAGGTAAATGCAGTTCGTGGCATTGTTATGGATTGTGATAGGATATTGTATCCAATATTTTTTTAGAAAAATAAAAGTTGTAAGCCTTTCAGTCTAGTACTTTACTCTTTCCATTCTTTAACCTTCCTCTGTCTCAATACATAACTATTGTTTCAGTTTTGATCTTTCTTTCACCTCTCTTGTTACGAATCTTATGAATTGAAGAACAAAAACCTTCATTCTACTAGATTCTATTCATAAATCAGAATCTGAACTATAAGAACCATTGATTTTGATTGATCATTGTGTCTGCTGCAAAGATGCATAACTTTATATATTCACCAAAGAATCTTGTACAAAATCAAAATTATATTAGAGTAAAGACAATAATTGAGTTACAGGCAATGCAAACAACACAGAAAGAATATCAAAATGTTAGAGCTATTTCAAAGATAAAACTTCAAATTCCTAACTTAAATTAAAGGGGAAAGGCCCCTATAATCGATATAGACATCTAAGTAAACTGTGTACTACAAATTATACATATTACAAACATGTAAACATGCATCTAGAGTGCAACAATTGTAGGATGAAACTTCGGAGACCTATTAAACAGCTTCCTTAAAAATGTCCCTGTGAATTTGTTGCACTCAGAGGGGCTCGAATTTTTAGGTGATTCTCTGGCAAGGCACTTCTTTCTTAGCTCCACATTCTCCTCTTTGAGCATATCCACAGCTAAACTTAACTGTCTTATTACCTCTCTCTTCTCTTCATCTTTCTGCTTTATTTGATCCTTTTGGATTCTGTTCTCTTCCTCAAGCTTCTCTATTACTTTCCTTAACTTCCTCACCTCATCATCAGTAACCCCACCCGAAGCCTTCTCTTTCATTTCTTCATCAACTTGGGTTTCACCATCCGGTTCCGGATCATCAACTTCAGACTCGGAGTACTCCTCAGGTTCACAAGTTTCGGAGTGGCTATCAAAGTTCAGATCCACCACGCTCATTGACTTCTCAGACTGGCATTTGGAGGAAGAGAATGGAGACCCTAATGTTGTCAGGAGACGAGTTCCTGGATCAGACTTAAGTTGATCATATCGCTCAGCCAATGACCGGTGAGCTCGATAAAATTCTTCAACCATGCTGATTAGCTGCGGCCGCTTCTTGTAATACATCTCTGCACGTTGAGCAAAGGAATCTGCATCTTCCTGAATCAGCTTTAGTATGTCCTCTGTCTTATGCTCTAGGTCTGCCATTGAAGGAAAGAGACATTCCCCAATCATTTAGTGACGTGAAAACATGAACAAATTGGTAAATGATACAACTTTACTTAGGGAGAAACTATTGCAACCTGGGAAGCATCCATGAAAATTCTAATCTAAGAACACGTTACTGCTTGCAATTCCCAAGAGTTGTTGACCAAAAATAAAACAGCAAGTAGAGAGGAGAACAAAAATGATGGGAGATTCATATTTTTATTAGAGAGTCCCATGGCCCCTCTTAACTTTCTTTGTTCTTGTACAATATGTATTATGTTCCTAAGAAAGGTTGTTTTGAAAATAACTAGATTCCAGTGGGTCCAAAACATGATGGGGCCATAAACATAAACAGTAGATATAAAGTCTATGGAAAAATCATTCATAGAAAGGTAAATATAAAAAGACTTTAACAATGTCTTTGGAGGGTGGACCTTAGTAGCCTAATCTGCAGTGAGGTGAGGACCACCACCACAACACCTTGCATAACACAATCATCAAAACACTGACTTTATATATCACGTCTAAGAGCCAGAGCCATATGATGAAAAGATACAGTACACCTCCGGATGGGTGATCCAGGGTTAATTTCACCAGCCCTATCCCCTCCAGTTTCTAGTCTACCATTCCATCATGGGTAGGGAAGGGGACCATGATGATCAACTATCATAGTAAATGCTAGCGAGGTAATTAGTCAAACACCCAAGAATTAGCTATTATAATTCTTTAGAAATTATACAAAACTTCATCAGAAAGTGTTCCAATAGTTGATTCTTGTGCTAATCAGAATGTTGTTAATGGGAGAGTTATCTTACACAACCTTGTTTAAACCACTGATCGCTAAGTTGCACAACAATAAAAGTTACCAAAGGCGATATTATAAACAACGGCGGAACTTTTCCCTGGCGCTCAAGGTGTTTGATCCAAGAAACAAAAAGTTAAAAACATACTATTAAGCTTAAAAAAAAATGCACTTCCCACATAAGCAAAGCCACCTTTTGGATTCATATCCATGAATATTTTATAAATTTTAATCTTTTTTTATTGGGAGAGGTGGTGGGCTAGCCATTTTGTCTTTAAACTCGGTAAAAAATAAGCTAGTTCATCAATCTTAGCATCAAATTTCTTCTACAGAAATGAAGGTGAGTAATCCCACATGTCTTTTTGTTAAACAATGCCAATAGGGTAATCAATTTGCAATCTCACCACCCATTCTTCCCAGCTATGTTCACTCAAATCGCATAAAAGTTTTATACTTTATACAGGTCCCCACCACAACAATTAAAAAAGACTTCAACTTTCAAATTTCAGAAGTTTAGAAAGAGGATTTCAACGGTCAAGAATCAGAAACCTTTAGCACAGTAGCAGCTAAAAACCCAAAAAAAAAAATCTCGATCTAGAAAAAACAAAAAGGAAAAGTGAAGATGGTACCAGCGAGGGTGGTTTGAAGCCATGGAGAGCGTCTGGAGTTGCTGTGACTGTCATACAACCACCAGTGTGTCGTCTGCTGCCTCGTCATTTCTTCTCCTTGCTTACCTTCAAGCTCGAAACTTTGCACAATCAATTTTTACAACTCTCATTCAACATGCCCAGCAACCCAAAAAATAAAAATTTAATTCGCAAATTAAAAAAATAAAAACCCATGAACTCCTACCACCATGAAAATTCAAACTCAAAACAAGAAGAGAAAAAAAAACAAAGACAGAGATGAAAGAGTACCTGGTTTCTGATATTCCGCAGAGAGCCTCTCTCTCTCTCTCTCTCTCTCTCTCGATGTTGGCACTGTGGAGCTTTCGCAGAGAGTGGGAGAGTTTCTGCGGAAGAGTACGAATTTAAATAAACTCCCTCGCCCTTCAAAATTGTTTTGTCAACATATGCTACTTGGCTTTTCACTTCAAGCAATCAGGGTCCGACACGTACTAGGTAGGCCTTCGGACTTTTGTCTCATTCCAAAATTACAAACGTACCATAGCAAAATTCAAGGCGGATTCAAAACTTCGGATTTCTTGCCATTTTACGAAATTACTCAACTTTTATCTTATGTTTCCGTAAAATACGAGGGTATTTTAGGAAAGTGAGATTTTTGTGAACATTGACCGCGTTGATCCTAGCTGGATCAAGGGCGGGGGAGCGTAGTGGGGGCCACAACAGAAGCAGAAATATGAATATAGAGGGAGGGAGCATAAATTGACCCCAAAAAAAAAAGGGATGGACATAAATGTGTAACGGTCATGAATATAAGATCCATAGTTTGTGTGAGCAAAAATGGTGACTTCATATGGCTTTTAGAAAGAAAGAAGAAAAAAAGGAAAGTGTTTGTGGGTTTGAATGGAAGGCACACAAACCATGATGAACATTTTGATTGTTTTAGACACATAAGCATATATATTGTATACTTTTTATATAAATTAAGCTTGTATTTAGTGAGTTGGCTGGAGTAGTGAGCCCGCTTCTTTGCACTCAAATTTATATATTCTTCCCTGTAATTTAAATTATTGCTTGTGATTTAGACGTAATTTATATATCTAACGAAGTGTGTGTTGGATGGTTGTAATAGTGAGTATTAACTCGTATTGTAGACACATGCTTGATGAAGCACATAATTATTCATAGTCAACTTGCATTCATATGAGCATATCTCTCTTAGGATTGAACACAACCAAGTACTTAATTCCTGCATTTTAGATAATATGCTATAATTATATCATCGTAAATGTTCATGCCCACCGATCACATTCTAACTTGAGGAATGTTGAGAAATATAGAGTTCTCTCATCACCTAAAAAATTATGGAAAGTGTTATTCAGATAATGTACCAAAATAAGGTCGTTTTTTTATTTTCATTATAAATATAAAAAAATCACATGTTTTCCCATCGTCAACCATGTTTTTTTTTGTGCCAGAAACTCCATATGTTAATTCACATGAACACTTTATGCATTTCTGAGAAAGTAAATGATTTTATTTATTGTAGCTAAGAAAGAGTACATGTATGAGTTGTTGACACCATAACTGACCAAGCAACTAGAAGAAACTCTAAGCAAAGCAAGAGGAGTCCCACATCGGAAATCTACAAGAGGTGAAGACTCCCTCTCACCTATAAAAGCATACCACTCTCCACTTAAGAGGGGATTGGAAACTGAGCTGGGCTCCCTCTTCAGGACTCTCCTGTTAGTCTGGCCTTCGAGTCCTGGGTCTCCAGACCCGGGGACTTGACCCCTGGGCTCCAGACTCCAAACTTTGTACCTTAGACCCTAGGCCTTCTTCCATTTATCTTTGGGTCTAATCCCCTTGTACAAATGTAAACAATATCATAATGAGAACATCTTCTCTGTGGACGTAGCCCATTCATTAAGGGTGAACCACATATATCTTGTCTTTTGTATATTCATAAACTGGCTAAGTCCTCACATACACGCAGAAGGTCCAAACCTTCACTCATCATCCATCACACCTCATCACTAAGTTGGACTCAATCTTGGCCCAACCATTTTGAGCATCAACATGAGTAAAATAAGAAATAAAAAATCTAATAATTATTATTATTATTAGATGACACTTGATTTCTAGGAGTTTTGAATCCAAATTGGTGCATACCACCAAGAGAAGAATCCTGCATCAGCGACCATACCAAACCCATTGCTCTTGTTGTACATAAGACACTTGGATTGAGGCCTATAATCTGCCACAAAAACCTTCTTCTTCTCCATCCCAACAACATTGCTTAAACCTGGAACAGCACAGGAACCATAGGGACCTAGAAACAGTGTAACATCATCACCCAAGAAGCCCAAGTCTACCTCCTCCCATCCATACATTCCTCCTTCCACTTTGAGCCTCTCAAGTTTCTCAGCAAAAGTTGAATCTGACTTCTTCTTCACTGCAAAGATTTCTCCATTGAACTCAAAGAAATAACCGCGAGCCCTCTCAAAACCATTGCCACGAACAATGTTCCAAGTCCTCAGTTTAGCATCAAATGTGGCAATTTTTCCATATGGATCCACACAATAGAAGCATCCATTGTTATAGATGGCTTGGATCTCACCACCGAATAAGCTTGGATCTCGCATGAAAACATGACCAGTCCAAGTTTCTTGTCCCACAAGCAAAGTGTCAATACGGACGCCAAAGACACTAGGCATCCTATAGGTGAAAACAATGCAATCAGGGGAGGTGGGGGAGGCAGAAAATGCAGCGGCAGTGATAACGCTGTGGTGGTATGGGAGGTTGATTCTTTGACTCGTAAAGGGGTTGAAAAAGAAGAGGGAGGAGGTGTTGCGAGACTGTATGAGCAACCAACCAAACCCGGATGCGAGACACTCCGTTTGGTCCTCAAGTTCCGGAAATTTCATGAGCTTGGAGTTGGAGGTGTGGTTTTTAGGGTTTAACCAAGCATGATTTGATTCCCCAGAGAATTCTCCAAGCAAGAACAACATGGGAATGTTTTTGTTGGTTTCAGATTTTTCCTCTTCGTGATGAGATTCATAGAGACGACCCATTATCGACGCAGAAGAAATTAGAAACGGCAAACAAAGAGAAAGGAAAAAACTTTGAGGACTGATGAATCTAGCAGAAAGTAATATAATTGTACAACTTGTTAAGACTTGAGAGTAAAATCGCCAAATATATAGAGGCTTAATCTTTTCCCAACTTGGAAAGGAAAATATAAAGTTAGTGGGATTTCTTGTTAGGTGAGTAGAGTTTTGAATGGGTTCATCTTTGGATTTCTAAATTCTAAAAGGTTTTGCCCATCCATATGAAAAAACTGGGATCCTTCAAATTTGTTTCTTTTATACAAGCAAAGCAACAGTAGGGATCTATCTAATTCGACATGTCAATAATATTAACCTCGAATTTGTAATTTTACATTGAAAACTCAATATATATAAATATGCCTTGGAGCCCAGAGGGAGCGTTTCCTCTCACAAGGATTGTGTTCTATAAAGAGGCAACGCGAGGCCCAAGGCATATGCCTAGCCTTCGGCCCGGCCCAATATTTTTGAAGACAATCCAATCCAAACTGTATTTCTCGTATTTACAACCAAACAGAAAAGACAGGAGGCTTATCATTCTAGATATGAAGGGAAATAATGTTTAAGCAAAATACTGTAACGTGAAAGATTTTGCATATCTTTAGAATACGAAAAGCACTTCTGAAAAGGAAAAGGAAAAGGATAAAAAGAAAAAAGGAAACAGGTTTTGATTTAAATACAGACTACTGGAATTCCAAGCATTACGACTGTGGATTGCAACCTGCTTAGCGCTTGCCAATCATTCACAAGCAATCTTGGTGTCAAAGCTGCTCAGACAAATTGCAAATGCCTGAAAGGCTGAGATTGGATACTGATAATCCATGGTGAATACATCCTTACCCACTTTTCCAAACTGGAGGATGACATTCTCATGCTCCTGGCCAGCAGCAACTCCGTTCTCTGGGGAAGCAACAAGCTGAAAATTCTTGACGGAAGCAACTGTTACTCGTCCATTGAAGTTGAGACACCAGCACTGGAGTTGTTCATGCCACCTAGGCGCCTTGTTCCTCAATACCAGCATACCTCCATTCTCGCCAGATTCGAAATTCTCCATCCGGGTTGATGTTGATCTGAAAAAAGGGATAGATGGAAAACTATCTGGGTTGCTATGCACAAATTCAGTCTGTGTGGGTGCCACGCCTCCTGGCTCAACAGCACGGGCAGGGATGGCATCCATTACACACTGCATTCTCCTCGGACCTCTGATTTTGATGGCAAATCAATCACAGTATTTATACAAAACATTACTTGAGAAAAGAAAAAGGAAAGTTATGTTTCTCGTACCTGGAACCCAAGACGTTCAACTCATAAGCAATGTGGGCCACAGGATAGTTGCCAGCAGGAACCCTGGGGGAGACTTGTTTCATATTTACAAGCCTGGTTGAACGACATTTAGTGACTTTGGCTCCAGTATTAGTAGGTTGCGCATCATAGATTGTGAACTTAGTGCCCAGAAAATTTGATCTGTTCAAGGAAAATGGGATGATGAACTTAGGCCTAGAAGAGGATCAAGAACTAGTCATCTCACAGGCCTGATAAACATACCTGAGCTTTCCGACAAAGCCACTGTTCCCTTTTGACACATCCTCAGCATTTACAGAGATGATGTAGTCTGTGCAGGTTGGGCGTCTACACTTTTTTGCAGCAAGAAGGAACTTCCCATCATCAGTTGAGGCTGGCAAGTACAAAAGCTAAAACAATTAATATTAAAAACTTACATCTGAGAAGGAGACTCTAGAAAACTTAACCTTGTTTTCTGTGTTTTAGTAACTACGTTGTTAACAACCAAATTACTTAATGAAATCCAAAATTAAAACCACATTACGAATCCTACCATGAGCATTACAGACAATGCAAAGAGCACAGTAATCCAAGCAAAAGCAACATTAGATCAGCACAATCATTCGGGACAAATATTCAGTAAATCACCTTGATTTAAACCCAGAAAAAGATAATATGTCTGGTTGCTACGACTCCGCTTTATATAACACTGAAGAAGGGATCCCCTTTGACCAGGCTGCAAAATATAAGCAAAGACTTCAGTTATTATTTAAATTGAGAAGGGGCAGAATCAATTGAAAATTCTTTTTTGATAAAAATAAGATTAACAATTCTTAACTCCTTAATAAGACTTTAATGACGGAAAAATATTTATGAAAATGTTTTGCTGAAGATATGAGAGGTAGCCTTAGTAGTTTCTTTTGCATGCACATTCCAATACAACAATCATCAATCAGCAATTATTTGGGAAGCTACCATTGCTACATTCAATATAAGGATCTTTTCCTGACTCTGCAAATCAATTTCAAGATATAACAGTGTAGCTCATCAAGCTAAACAAAAAATACAAACCAGAGGGGTATGTTATATAACAAGCAACAGATTAAAGGTAAAACGAATACAATATACAATTGAACACAATTAGATAAAAACATGAAAAATTGATTCTTTGTAGGAAGGATATGGGCCACTATCTCAAACCTGCTTCAAAGAGATTGGAAATGTCAGCTTGCCCGAAACTTCTGGGGATTTCACAATCTCTTTCATGATTTCTCTCCAATTCCTGCAAACACCAGCACAAGAAACTACATTTTTCCGCGGAGGCCATGTATCATCAGATGCCTCTATTCTCATCAACACATCCCTCAAAAGCTCCGGTGGCATGTTAGCCCAACAACTCTGCTTCAAAGCATCAACTCGAAATGAGGTGGTATCCTGAACCACCCGTTGAGACCTTGATCTTATACCAAATTTCACATCAAAGCTTTTCCTAGAAATGCTCCCAAACTCACCTTTCATATCCTGAAATATACTCTTCAAAGACATCACTGAAATCCCAGAAGCCTGAAATGCTAAAACCTTTACTTTTAATCAAAGGGGACAACCGTTGATAAAAAATTTCTTCCCTCAAATGTGAATATCAATCAGCACAATTCACCACAAAATGTTACATCCGCACTCCATTTTTCAACCCAAGGTCTTATATACACAGTTTTCAGCCACTGATGCACTGTTTGTAGATCTACAAAAACTATACTCAACCGATATATACTACACTGATAAATCCAATAACCGAAAAACAATAGATCAACTAAGATAAACCGCCAAATCCAATCAAAGTTTGTCACTTTTCCATAGATCTCTCTAGAAATACTTTCAAAAAACACCCTAAAATAAACTGAATGCCAAACATTCCTGATAACCCATGAAAGCTTTACACTTTTACAGAGATTGAACCACACAAACCTCGGAAACCAGCTTACAGGAACATCTACAACGCCTGGTAAATACCAGATTTTGAGTCAGGAAGAGGGACTGAAACCCATTTTCCAAGGTTGACAAATGAATGTAAGCGCCGAGGGCTGTAAATTAGGGTTTGGTGATCAGTGTTTTGCTGTCTGTGCTAGAGTCCCCGAGACAAGTGATGGGTGATGAATGATAGATCCTGTTACGAGTACACTCTCTTATCCAAGCTTACTTCTTATTGGGCAAAGTCGATTGGTTCCGGGTTTGGATAGTTTGGATGAATTGGATATTTGTTCAAGTTTAGCCCAACCCAACAATGAACAATTGTTTTGCTTTAACATTATCGGAACAAGATTATTCATGCAATAAATTTAAGATAACATGACATTTGAACTTGACCCAACAAAGAAAAAAGACATTTGAACAAATCTGACATGATAATCTCATGTGGCATAATTGAGTGCGGTTGTTTTGAGTTTTAATGACTAGATACAATTCAATCATTGAAAGATTTTGGCCGTTTGATGGCGCGTAATATGAATGATCTAATAACGCCAACAAAGAAAGAATTACAAAATAGGGAAAGAAAACATAGTTGCATCAATTTATGTTAAATTTTTGAATTGAATCTACTAAATACATTTATCATCCACTTTTTTCTTTTTTTTTTTATATTTTTCTTAATACGAATTAGTTTTCTTACATTAAAACAATTCACAACCTTCTTTTGATGAGAATGTTGTAGTAGTTTTTTTGTGGACATTCTAAACTTAGTGATAATCAAGGGCGGATCTAAGCTTAGGTTGGAGTGGGCTACAGCATAGGGGAAGATTTATAAAGTATTGAACATGGTTTAAATTTTATAAGCTTTATTCCTACTCTAATAAATATTAGCCCACTCCTAAACCATATAGGAAACAATAACATCAATCCAAACCTATATAAATTTGATTTAAAAGCAGAACTCACTCTATGGCTCTACCGACTTGAGCTATTCTAATCGTACTGATATTGGGCACACCCACAAAGAGCAAACATCAAAAAATTTCTTTTAGCCACCCAAAACTCCATATTTGAACCTTGAGAGCCTAGAGGAAATAGCTCTCCTCCTCTAAAAAATTGTACAAACCTATCTTCAGTGGGTTCTTCAATCTTGGTAAGTTTTTTTTATTTTGTATATAAAATATATATATTCAATTTCCAATTTTAATTGTTGTTAAGTTTTTATGATTTAGGGTTAGGGTGAAAACTTTTGGAGACTGTTGATATATATTTTATTTTTGCAACTTGAATTATTAATTAGCATATATGATTTTTGAAGTTGTACAATGTGTTTGATTTGTTATTTATTTATATTTTGTACTTTTTAATGTTATATTTGCTTGTAATGTGGCCATGTTTGATTTATAAAATTTTATTTACATTTTTATTTTAAAAAAGGCTTATAATATATCTCTTCTATAAATAAAAAAATTTAACCTACCCCATAAAAATTCCTGAGTCCACCATTGGTGATAATGTTTTAGCAGCTGCGGGGGATAAGTTGTTGGCTGAGTAACGCAGTGTCAAGGGTTTCTCATCTTATTTTTATTTTTTCTGTTGATAACCGTTATAAAAACAAGGTTGGTTGTTTTTTTGGTTTTTTGGTTTTTAGGTTTTTTTGTTTTACCCAAGAAAAAGAGGTAATGCTACGGGCACCAACTCTTAGACCCAAGTCAAAAAAAGGCTAGACATTCACAGGTGGCAGTTCTTGATTGGCAGGCCTTCAATTGAAAGATTTTACTTTCCTCTTTCCAAAGCGGTAACAATACTCGCGTAGGGTGTACAACAAGGTTAGAGCTGGGGCCCACTTACTCGGACGGCTCTGATTCTCCCGCGACTTCAACGCTTTATAAAGACTTCGTCTTCGTTCTTTTCTTTCGCGGTCTTTCAAGTTTCTCTTTTTCTCTGGATTCTTTATTCTCTGCATCGCAGTTCTTCTCTCTCCCTCTAAAACTATTTGACTCCTTTAAGTCAAATTCCATCTCGTCTTGCTGTAGATTGCGCGGCCATTGATATTATAGAGGTGCGCACTGTATCTTTTCCAGTCCTGTTTGGTTTCATAGAAGTGGAGTGGAGGAAAAGCAAAGAAAGTTTTCATTCTAATGTCTTAAGGCTTACGCTCATGACTTGTTTTCGTTTCTATGTTTGAATTTTCATTGAAGTAATTTGATGCAGAGTTATTGGTATTTGGAATTTATTTTCTTATGAAAGTTTGAGCATTATGTATTTTTTGATGGTGAAGTGAGTTGAGCCCTTGTGACGATTTGAGTTTAATTTTAACAGGAGCTTGCAGAGATTGAGTGGCTCCATCTCGATGGGTTTCCCTTTGGTCTCTGCTTTGATGAGACTGGGGGTGAAATCGACGACCACCGACCAAGCTCCCATAAATTCAATAACTTTATTCGTGGTGCTCCTTTGTTTTTGCATTGTGATTGGTCATCTTCTGGAGAAAAGTCGATGGATGACTGAATCAGTCACTGCCCTTCTCATTGTAAGTTCCTCCAAATTAAATGCTCTAGCTTTGGTTTACTGAATAACATGTCATTGTTTTGGAATTTTCGGATGATTTTTTTTTTATTGGGTTTGATTTGAATGCAGGGTCTTTGTACTGGAATTGTTATTCTTCTAAATACCGAATGGAAAAGCTCACACGTCTTAGTTTTTAATGAAGATATTTTCTTCATATATCTTCTGCCACCTATTATATTCAATGCTGGGTAAGCCATGAATTTCATATCAATCTCAGCCTTTTATATTCAATGCTGCCTCATCATGATCGTGAAGTTTCCCGGTTTCATTATTTCCCATACCAGATTCCAGGTGAAAAAGAAGCGGTTTTTCCAGAACTTCATGACAATCATGTTGTTGGGTGCTGTTGGCAGTTTTATATCATTTGTCATTATATGGCTAGGTAAGTTATAAATAATCTAGCAGGCCAGTGTAAGGCTGATATTGCAAGAGAAACTCACCAAAGCTACGGTTTATAATGTTTGCAACTTTCGTAATTTTGATCCAGGTTCGTTGCAGTTATTCGAAAAGATGGACATTGGTTTCCTGGAGATGAACGATTATCTTGGTAATCTCTCTATTACTTTCTCATTTTAATCTACATAAATTTTGTTGTGTAATTACACTCTTGTTTGAGTTCATATTTGTGTTGTATTTGAAACATTTATTACTTCTTATTTATGCCCCTTTATGCTCTTATTTTTTGTTTCACTTCTCTACCTGTAGCACTTGGAGCAATCTTCTCGGCTACGGATACTGTTTGTACCCTTCAGGTATGTATATTTTCCTCATGGCCTTGTTTATTGAAACATAAAATCAGTGGATAACTAAAATAGTAAATCATTATTAAGTTTGTATCTGATGTGGCAGGTGCTTAATCAAGATGAGACGCCTTTACTGTACAGTCTAGTCTTTGGAGAAGGTGTTGTAAATGATGCCACATCTGTGGTACTTTTCAATGCAATCCAGAGATTTGATCTCTCTCACATCAACTCAACCATTGTGATGGAGTTTATTGGCAATTTCTTATATCTGTTTCTGACAAGCACATTGCTGGGTATAGCTGTGAGTCTCTGTGCACATCCTCATTTTCTCATGTTCATATTATCAGCTTTCATGCATGACTGATGGCATTAGGGAGATTTCATGGTAGACCTAGACCAAAAAAAAAAAAACAGAGAAAGACGGGAGTTCAGTCAGGTTTATAATTTTACCTTGGAAGACTCATTTTCTCATCTTCTCTTTTACACTTGCAGGTCGGATTGCTTAGTGCATACATCATAAAGAAGTTGTACCTTGGCAGGCACTCTACTGATCGTGAAGTTGCTCTTATGATTCTAATGGCTTATTTGTCATATATGGTGGCAGAAGTAAGATTTTAATTTACCCTCTTGGACTGAAAGTTCAATCCAGTTTGGTTTTAGATATTGACTGGTGTTCGACTCTGTTAACAATGACAAATTTTATTCATCTTCCAGCTGTTCGATTTAAGTGGCATTCTTACTGTTTTCTTCTGCGGGATTGTCATGTCTCACTATACCTGGCACAATGTAACCGAAAGCTCAAGAGTTACAACCAAGTAAGCCAGCCAACTTTTCCAAAAGTTTAACATAGCAGACATGTATGTGTGTATAAATATACAGAGCATGGACAAACAAGTCACGTCTGTTTCTTTCTCATGTGCTGTTTTCACAACTGCAGGCATGCTTTTGCAACATTATCATTTGTTTCGGAGATTTTCATCTTCCTCTATGTTGGTATGGATGCCTTGGACATTGAGAAGTGGAAATTTGTAAGCGAGAGGTAACACCTATATGCATAAAAATGGACAGTTTGATAGTATTGTTGATGACTTTCCCTGCAGCCCAACCCTCCCATTTGTTTTAAAGTCATTAAAAGCTTATTTTTCTTCTTTTTTTAACAGTCCTGGGACATCAATTGGAGTCAGTTCGATTTTACTTGGCCTGGTTCTGATTGGAAGAGCTGCTTTTGTATTTCCCCTCTGTTTTGTTTCGAACTTAACTAGGAAACATCAGATCGACAAAATTGGATTTAAGCAACAGGTTAGCTATTTGGTATCTGCTGTTGAAGTTTTTCTGCCTCTTGAATTACTTAGTGACTGATTCATTGACAAAAATCAAACAGGTAACGGTATGGTGGGCGGGACTTATGCGAGGTGCAGTATCCGTGGCTCTTGCTTATAATTGGGTAAAGAATGGATCAAATTTAATGACTTGACTTGACTTGTTTTAATGTAACGAAGTTTTTAATACGCTGTGTTTTTCAGTTTACAATGTCAGGCCATACTCAACGCCGTGGAAACGCAGTCATGATCACTAGTACAATCACAGTTGTTCTCTTCACCAATGTGGTAAAATTCCTTATCCACTTTAAAACTTTTACTTGTTCTAAGACTAAGGCCTGCTCGTTGCCTGCTTATCCTTAAGTCGGTGTTTGGCAATTGCAGGTGTGCGGATTATTGACTAAGCCTCTTGTAAGGTGGTTGTTGCCACAACATAAACACTCAGGCAGCATCATGTCCTCTGAATTATTATCATCTGAGATGTCTCTGGCTATGCCACTCCTCACTAATGGGGACGATCCAAAGTGGGATATGGCCGGCGATAGAATTCCCCGTCGAACCGTTCTGCGTATGCTCTTGATGACACCGGTTCGTTCTGTGCATTACTACTGGAGAATGTTTGATGACAGTTTCATGCGTCCTGTCTTTGGCGGTAGAGGATTTGTGCCATTCGCTCCTGGTTCACCCAACGTAGATATTGTGCACCAATCGGTACTTGGGGAGCAGCAGATAGTAGAGTAATATTATAACTTGAGGATTGATTGTTTTGCTGGGTTATATATTGGTGTAAATAGTCAAAAGTATAACTTATAGGCAGGCCTCCCTCCCTGAGCCATGTTGTATTGTTCATACGCAGACATTATCAAGGAAAGAAATGGGATAATCAAATTCTTATTCTTTTGACAGTAAAGTCAGCAGATTTTTTAGCATGCTTATAAATATAAAAGGTCATCTGATTTTGAATTAGGAAAAGAACAATGTTCTTTCTCAATCAAATTTTCATCAAAGTAAACTATTACTTCAATTAACGATTATCTTAGGTGTCAATTTGGGAGTAAATAACAAGATTCAAAGTAACAGTTTGAAAAGATGATTCGGAATTCACGTTACACTTTTACTCAGGGAATCAAATAAACATAAACTCAGCAACTTTAACATAAACATGGCTCCAAAGCTAAAAATAACGGCCAACTTCAAAAACAAATTGGATCAGAAGGGACCGGGTCCGGGAGGACCAAATCCGCCACGAGGGCCGCCAAAGCATTCTTGGAGCAAACCACAGCAGCACAAGCAGTAGAAGCTGCAACAACAACACACTTCAGATTTCAGTTCATAATTAACTTCATATGCATATATAGACAACTTTGCAAGCAAGCACAATCTAAATAACACAAAGGGTCTCACGAATTTACAAAGAATAATCATTCATTTGAAACAAAAATTCAAATGGGTGTTGATAAATCATAATTACCAAGAAGATAACAGGTTGCATAATCCATCACCAAACCCCCCAAAAAAGCCAGGTCCACCCCAGAAACCACCGCCACCCCATGGCCCCCCAGGCCCGGGGCCCCAGCCACCAGGTCCTCCAGGTCCAGGGCCTCCCCAGCCACCAGGTCCTCCAGGCCCAGGGCCTCCCCAGCCACCTCCTCCTGGTCCTCCACCACCCCAGCCACCTCCTCCTGGTCCTCCACCACCCCAGCCACCTCCTCCTGGCCCTCCACCTCCACCTCCACCGCCAGGTCCCATAACTAACCCTTTATCTCAGAGTGTCAACTGCCCAGCAAAAGAGAAGAGAACCTTCAAGTCTGGAGGTGTAGCTGAATCTGATGATCCTAGTAAGAACAGAAAACCAAAGCCAAACTAAACAAGTTCAGTTGAATGTATATAAACAAAAAATGTGGGAAGTGGGAAGAGAGAGAGACCGGCAGGCAGGCAGGCAGGCAGCGTGAGCTTACTTAACCTGGAAGGAAGCATTTAAAGATATTATGTACAAACACTTCTACCAACTCTTCACTCCAAACCTGCAAGTCAAACCACACAACAAGACAACTATACTTCTTCAACTTACCAGTCTTACACCTTGCAATCTATATGTTTGTCGACAAGAAATACAAATTCGCCGGATTGGGATGCCAATTTTATGACACTTCCAGGCTTCTTTCTTTTTTCTTTCCTTCTTTTTTTTCTTTTCTTTTCATTTTGCTTGTCGTTGGTTTCACTTTCAGGTTCATATATGAGCACTAGTTCATGCATGCCTCACGCTGCACCAAATTTACTGCCTCAAAAGCCCAATCGCCCCCAAAGGATGAGCTATAATGGGCTTTGCTTAGTAGGATGACAACATGTGATACTGATTAAAGCCTGATTTTTGCCACAAAGTCTTTTCTTTTCTTGCCATTTTCTCAGCAAACAAACAGAATATACTCGTTTATGATGTTAAAAACAGAGTTTTAAACACACAGAAAAGGAGGCCTCAGATTAGCATATTGGCACATTCCTCATCCCAACGATAACCCATGCGCATAAACGTCGTCGCTGCTTATGGCCTTTATGCTTCTCATCATCAGCGATTACTCAATTCCAGAAATCCAAAAATCCTGTTTTTGCCAATTTTTGAACACCCTTAACCGAATTAACCCACACAGAATCAATTTTATCATCACAATAAATAAAAACAAAAACACAAGATTGTATCATTCTGAAATTAAGAACTCACAAAGAAAGCGAGCAAAACTCCGATTAGGGTTTTGATCAATAACACCGCCTGCCGTGTCAGAAGCTTTGCTTATATTTAGGATAAATCAAGTAGATGCAGAGCGAGTCTAAGGTTGGGTGTATTCAATTGGGATTTTAAAAGATTATTTTGAGATAAATAAGTCATGTGGTATTCAATTACGACTTTTAAATAATTTAAACAAGTCTTGTGGTATTCCATTAAGACTATTAGAATTTTTAAATCAAGTAGATTCAGAGCAGTCTAAATTTGTCTAGAATTGTAGTTATTTTTGTTGTGCTTAAAAAATAATTAACTGTAAAGTAAAGCAGCTCTATGTTCGGTAAACAATATTTTAAAAAGTGTCGTTAGTACAAATAAACAATGTCAAAACCGTTTTGTAAATTTTAATATAAAACTGTTTTAACTGTGAATAATAACTAAAATAGACATGATGTTGAAGTAATATGCACTAATCATGTGGTGATAGTGGTGGTGGTGGTTAAAGATATAGAGGTGAAGGTGGTGGTGAAAGAGCTGGTGGTAGAGGTGGTGATGAACGTGGAGATGGTGGTGATAAAGGTGGAGGTGGTTGTTGTGAGGATGGCGGTTGTGGAGGTGGAGGTGGAGGTAAAGGTGGAGGAGGAGGTGGTGGTGGAGGAGAAGGGGGAGGATGTGGTGGTGGTGGTGAAAGAGCTGGTGGTAGAGGTGGTGATGAAGGTGGAGGTGGTTGTTGTGAGGATGGCGATTGTGGAGGTGGAGGTGGAGGTGGAGATAAAGGTGGAGGAGGAGGTGGTGGTGGAGGAGAAGGGGGAGGATGTGGTGGCGGTGGTGATGGAGTTGGATGTGGAGGTGGAGTTGTATTTTGGGAATTTAAAAAAAAATCATCAAAGGCTCATCTTTGCTTCTTTTGAAAGCAGTTTTGAAAAGCAACATATAAGCTGCTTTTAAAAGCTACAGTAAAGACAACTACTTTTAAAATAATCGGGATATTTTATTTTTACCAAACACCTTAAACTGATTACCTTTAAAGTGAAAATGGTTTTTGGCCCAAAAAAAAAAAAAGCAATCCCAAACAAGGGTGGTGCGTCTAGTTTTAACCATAAGTGAATTATTATTATTATTTTGATAAAATAGTTAATAGTTTAAATTAAGCTTATTTACAACAATGCCCCCCAAAACTACGATCAAAGCTCACTTTTACCATTAAGCTTATTCGAACTTGTGTGTAAAGAAACAACTTCACTACCTTCACCAACAACAAGACCTCCAATTCAAGCCCCTTCTTTAAATTACTATACTAAACAAACTGTAGCTAACAAGGATACTAGTATAGGTAGGTGCAAGAATTGACAAACACACAGACATATTAGTGAAATATTAAGGCCCTGTTTGGTATCCTATTCAAAAAAGTAAATTAAAAAACTATGATTCTTTTTAAAAACATGAGTTTTCAAATAGTGATTTTAAGATATAAAAACTTATTTAGTATTTAACTCCAAATTATTTTTAAGATCTAAAAAAATTGAAATTAAAATTAGAAAATCAAAAACCTTAGATTCCCAAATTGAAATCAACAGAGGAAAATGAGAGAGAGAGAGAGAGAGAGAGAGAGAAACGTGAGAAAGAGGAGATAGAGAACAAAAATATAAAATCTCACTTTTTTTGTTTTTAATAATGGAAATGCTTTTGAGTTTTTAAAAATGGGCATACCAAACGGTTTTTTGTAACTTTGGACTTAAAATTTGTTTTTGAATTTATAAAATTAAATCCAAATAGGATAGTAAGTCTGTCCTCTTGAACATGAGTTTGAATCCTCTCATTTAATATCATTTGTATAATAAAACAATAAAAGATTTAACCCTAAAATAAAATAAAATAAAATAATTAGAGGACCATAGTGGGTTCACACACATTATAGAGATGGGCCTCACCCCTCGGATATCAATGTCAGGCCCTTGCGCACATAGAACCAAACCCAAACCCAAATGTCACAAAAATTGGTCCCCATTTCCAATTGGCAAACCTTTCATCATTTGGATTTGCATATAAGAACCAAACCCAAATGTCACAAAAATTGGTCCCCAATTCCAATTGGCAAACCTTTCATCCTTTGAATCTGGATTGGAGAGAGAGAGAGAGAGAGAGAGAGAGAGAGAGAAATCCCTTGAATCAGTGGTCCACTCTTAGTTGGACTATTAATGGCTAAAAGTACACGTACGTAGATTAATCAATGAAGTAGAGCCATCAGATCAATTGGGGGTTCAAGTTTTAACCATCAGGATTCTCAGGACCACGACACCTATAGGCTGTATATAACATTTAAAGTTTCAACCAGAAAAGTGCACTTGGCCCATGACATAAACTGCTCACAAACCTACAGATGGAATTGATAATAACTCACAAACTTATAACATCTTGGTGTGAGGCCTCACCATAATCACCATTAACCATTTCCCCGTTGAGATATTTAGTCATATATCTATTCTTAAAACTAATGATATAAATAAATCATACACCATTTAATTTCTATAAACAAATCCAAAAAATGACAGCTGATCCTATTCAATTTAATTTTGATTATTAAATTACTTTGATATCCTATTGAGTGTTTTGGATTAAATTTTTTATATAATTTAGGCTCTTATATATTAAGTATAATAATGAATCTCTTTTCATTTCATACACACTGAGACTGAGACTGATAGCTGTAGCCTGTAGGATGACAAAAAGGAGGGGGTTTATAATTAATCCTGCGCTCGCTCACACTATATATATATTTAAGATATCAAATCATTAAAACCAATTATATTTTGTACAGGACAATATCTGGCTATTGACCATTGGCTAATTAATGGGGGTTTTTTTTTTCTTCTTCTCATTAAACCCATCAGCTCAAGCGTGCTGGGGGGCCGAATCTTAATTTGTCCTGTTGTAGACAAACAAAGCAGAGAAAGTTTCTAGGAAGGCTGCTGATAGAACATGGTTGCCGCTACTTTTCTTGGTAAGACCTACACATCCAAGCAGTACTTTATTTCTACTACGCATGATTGATTGTGCATGTCAACTAAATATTAAGTCAGCTACGAGCTCTATCCGATTGTTTAGCATACAATTAGATTGGGCATCCTTAAACGAGCTTTTGAAATGTGTTACCGTATGTAATTTGCGTGAAGAACTCATATACATACTCATGGCAAATTCTTTACGCTTCCGCAAGCGATCATGTTTTATTTAAGTGATTGTTGTTAGAATCTCCATACATTGGTTGTATGCCCTTATGGTCAATTCCAGTTGGTAATCTCTTATTAGATAGGTCTTTATCCATGGTGTTATTAAGGTATCGTATGCTACTCCTACTAGGAACACAATTTTTGTCTTAACCCAGCGGAAAACGACGGCTTCCATTTGTATTTTTATTTTATTTTATAAGGATTTGGCAGTGGCAGTTGATGATTACTTACTATTATTCTTTTCTTTAACAAATCCCGAACCCACATTTTAATCGTGTATCTGTTTATATCAACGAAATTAGGTAAAATTATAACCACTACGCCATCTGTCAACGCGCATGATAATTCCGAAAAATTAGGTTAAATTCCATTGTTTGTTCCAATTTATTTATTCAAAAGCCTACTGCTCCCCATAATACGTAACTGTAGAATACCACGTTTCCCTTAGGATAATGATAACGATAATGATAAATAGGCAGTCAAGTCAACCATTTAGGTTAAAGAAGAGATAACGATCAGCCAATCGGATAAGGCCACGTAAGTACTTTGTACACGTAAAAAGGAGAGCAGGGAATAGGCTTTTCGTCGGTGAGAGATAGCATAGCATAGCATACAACTGAGAAGCCAGGGATTGTCTCAACAAAGACTCTAAAATCTGGTGTTACTTTTGTAATAAAGCTAGCTTCCTTGGTGAGTTGTTTCTTGCGTCGAAACCACAGATAGTACAAAGATAAAAAGCTCACGCCAAGTGAAAGAGAGAGAGAGAGAGAGAGAGAGAGAGAGGTGGGGGAAAAGGTTGTGTCTGTCACTCGAGTTTTTGATTGGACAGTGCAGGCCGGCACTAGGGCAGGCAGACTTCGGCCACCCTCTAGTATTGATCCAGCCAGCTCTTGTTTCGTAGGGCCCCCTACGATTGTTGGGCTTTTGGGCTTCAACTTCTTGTTAGTGTTTTGCTTTGCTTTATGGGTTACCTTACAAATAAGGGTAAGGGGTACTACCACCATTAGGTTAAGGTGGGGTCACACACTGTACGTACTTTGTTCCTTTCATAAATCACGCAATAGGCAGAAATGCTATAATGAAGAGTTTAGAATGAGGAGGTTATTTAAGGGGTTCAATCCCACCATCAACAAATATGAGTAAATCAATGGACTTAAATATTTTAAATAGTTTAATTGTGGGATTAAACCCTTCAAATAAGATCCTCATTTTACACTCTCGTTGTAGAAACAACCCTAAATAGCGGAGTTTATGAATTGCTTTCAAACTGGGCTATATATATATATACTTCCAACTAATTCGGAATACATAAAGTAGTTTCACTAATCGTTATTTTTGATTTAGTGATATTTGTCTACTACACAAGGAGGTTTTAAGTTCAATTTACATGAACGACGAAAATGAAATATATTTATTACGAGTTCGTAACTAGTTAGTTGTAATTAGCCTCTATAGTTTGTCCCCCCAAAAAAAACTGTTCATAAAATGACGTATAGTAAGCAAACTATATATATGCATAGCTTTTATGTGGATTCTCCTGATTAAGTGGGAGCCATCTAATACATGAGAGAGTTGTATACCCATCTAATCCACCTTTATGTTAATTTTTAATATTTTCAAGCTGTGGTCAACAAAAGTTTGCCAAATTTCGTCTAACTGATGCTCACAGTATGTAGGCCTAAGGCCAGCCACCCCTCTAGCTACAAGCTTGGGTTTTCAGCTACATGCATATCATTATCATATAAAGGCATACTGTTCCACACTTTGGAAGTAATTGCACATGAAATAAGAAATATGAGAGAGAGAGAGAGAGAGAGAGGGCTTTGCTTAATGATAAGATAAAGACTCTTCCACTAATAAGATTGCCAATATGAATCAACAACGTCAACTAACAAATCGAACTCAGGTTCCCATCACGTGCTGGGTGTTATCTATGATAGGAATCACTTGATGGGCAAAGAAGTCGTAGGCATCATTCATGGCTTTCCATTACATTAAAGTGAAGTGATTTTCAATTAATTTAGACCCCAATTGCCAATTGGATTGGACCTCCATAATTGAAATCATGTCCTTTGGGCTCTTCTTGTTGCCATTGACGACTCCTTATTTCGATACTCTTTAGGCATCTTATTTTCGAGTAGACTAGTAATCTCATGTTCAAATCCTCATAATACATTAGTAGTGTGCGTGTGTATCATCAATTTATTCACATCGATTATATGTAGTCTGATAATATAACTTGTGAAATGATCTATAAGAAAACAATACCTTAAAAATATAAAAATAAATAAACAAAGACTAATGTATAACTTTATGTGCCAGCATGCATTTCGCTCAGCTGTCACAACTTCGGTTTGCCCATATCATAGTACTATTTTTGTATTAAATGGTTTCTCTAATCATCGACATTGAAGGTGGTGAAGAATATGATTTTATTTTTTTTATTTTTTTGCATAATTTATAACTCCTAGAATTCGTCTTAGAGAAAACATTTTGAAATGAATAGGTGGGCGGTCTTTCTGAAAAAATTATACACATCTAGTCCAAGCCAAGCCATTCCACTCGAGAAGGAGAGAGATTCCCGGAGAACCGTGCGTGGGGTTAATAATTAAATCCTCTCATTTTTAATTAATCAATTATTTTTTATATCTTAATCACGATTTTTCACCAATAAACAATCAACTTTACGTGCAGGCCAACTAAGCTCACCATTTAATTATTCCATTAAAAAATTAATTAACTGATTAAGACCTAAGTTTCTGAGCGATATTTCAGTATATTTTTTTTCCATAACGCTTTTTGCTGTTTTTATGATATATAATATAATATCGAAATCGAGTAGAGACAAGCTCTAACCAACGGTTGAGATATTCGCTTCACAAGAACTAAATCTGGGCCGTTGATTTTAACTCGACATGAAAAGGGACAGGTCTATCGAGTCCATGCTACTGAGGCAGTGGATCCCAATAATACCATGTCCTTTTCAAACTGGCAATAGTACCCCTCATTTGTGTGGAACGAAGGCAGTTGGGTGTGATCTAAAGAGGGCAAGTTCGTACTCTCAATTTTATAAATTTTTGTGATGGCCCCATGGAAAAATGTACGTACGCGGCCCTCGGTGAAACTGTAGGGGCGCTTTGGCTTTTTTACCGTTTATGGTCCCAAAATTTAATTACCTGCATGAGCTTTCATGGGTCCATGTGTAAATTACCATATCACCCGTACACTGTAAAAAAGCCACATCGTATGGTCTGATTAAGATGCAACGTGCAGTTGTTTGTAGTACATTTGAACTATTCCTCTGCCCATCATGACCTTTCAATTGGATAATAAGTGAGGCTATAATTACCAAATATTATTATATCATTCTTCAATTTCACTTTTCTAGCAGTTTATCCTATTTTTACATTTCATTTTGACGATTTTGCAATCTATTTTCGATCAAATTCTTTGGTTACCATATCCATATGGCTAGTAAAATAAGTACACCACATTAATAATATTTACGTGTAAGGGCCATGACAACTTCATGTCTACGTATATTAATATATTTGGGATAAAAACGCTTAATTTATGTATATATGTGAATTCACTAATTATGCTAGTCACGATGAATTGTCTATTATTATTCAGCTAAAAAAGGTAAGTTTGTTTGGGAGTGATTATGAATAGCCTAATAATCACTTATATGGAGAATCACTTTAAGTGATTTTATAGAGAAACATATGAAAAATACTTCTCCGTATAAGTGATTTTTGACCTCCCATAATCACTCACAAACGAGCTAGTGTACTTATCCTCACAATTTTGGAATGTAAATTCAAATTTCTGCCTAACCCTATGTGATCTTTCTTATTCATATACTGATACGTGGTAACTCTAGTTTTCTTCTAGTCAAAAAACAAAATATATACTGATACGTGGCGTTGTTCGAATTAAACAGTCACACATGATTGGACGGCCATGATGTCATGATAACCAGGGGACTTCACATCAAATCATTCCTTATTATTTTAACCTTTTTTTAACTCCGCTAAACGTGGTCCCCACAATATTACTCTCCCACAGATCCAGCCGTGCAATGCGAATCATGAGATTCCCCTTACACTACCCATTCCGGTACACATGACAACACTTGACCTCAACCCATTCCTTCTCGTCTTCCTCAATTTCTCCCCATAATATCGCGACACAACGAGATGCTCCAAACTCTCCTCGCTTTGATATACACCCGGCTCCACCCCCCTTACGTACACCCGTTTTCTGCGGCTGCCCTTGGTCGCCCAGCGGATAAGACCACCCCACTGCCACCGCGCAATCCAACGGCTCTCACCCTCCACTTGACACGTGTCGCCATCGTAGGGTGAATCAGCATCAGTCGCACAGAAGCCCACCATGCGATTTAACCCTGGTTAAACTCTAACCTCACCCAGCTCAACATAAAAACCTTATCCTCTTTCTCTTTCTCTTTCTCACTTCTCTCTCTCTATCTCTTCTGCAAGCCTGCAACGAATAAGCTCGTTAATGGAGTCTCAGATCTAATCTAAACGACACACAAACTCAGTATATCTATCTATTTCGCCTCTCTTTATCTCTTTCGCT